AAAAAGGACCGCGCCTGATTGACGACGACTAGCCGAGGTCGACCGATTTGCAGCAGCACCAGGACGAGAAGGTGCGATCGAACGAGGGATCGAAGGTGGGGATTGAGATCCGTGGCGACAGAGGAGCAAAGAGAAGAATCGGAATTGTGGAAGAGGAGGAGCGCAAGCGGGTGAGGTGATGATCGTCACTTGCCGGCTCAAGCCTATCAACAACACACCGAGCTCCGACATGCTGCTGCTGGCCCGTCCACATCCCTGGGAATTGAAAGGAATTGTTTCGCTGTTCATTCCGGCAGCTGTGACTGAAAGTTGAAGAACTAATCCGTCTGCTGCTGATTCCCTCACCGCTCCACGATCTAAGGATTCGACTTCATCAGGAGTTCTACAGTGGTTGCCATGTTCGCTTCTGGATTTCCAATACGATTGTAAGGCCAAACGTCCCAGGGTTTTGCGAAGTGGGTGGGGAGGGAGACGATCGAATCTGCTAGAATTGGTAGCGCCTTTTCCTTACCACGCACAGTCGAGCGGGGAGGAGCGCGTGCGGGATCATGGGGGCTCGAGCCGATGGTGAGAAATGGGGAGGTAGGAACGGGTCCACGTTCGCGTTAGAACATTTTCGGGCTCTCCATGTAAAGATTGATTCTCACTATCAATAGTGTTGGTCGCTGGTATGCGGCGCTTCGGCTTGACTGAGTGTGGTCTGGTAAAACAACCGTGGTGAACAGTGTGAATAAGGGGAACGAATCGTTTCTGCAGATTGTGCCATGGCTCGATCCACAGCACTCGGATCTCATGGGGTGCAGCTGCCTTCGCAATTTAGGTTGTTTAGTGATTCAGCCAGGCAGATCGTAATTGCCATCCCCTTGTGGAAGTGTTGAAATTAACCTAATTCGTTTCTTTCGGTCGCGATGAATCGTTTCCGAATGCTCTTGGCTAAATTCCGCTCCTGCCCCCTCGGCCGCAGCTACACTTCCGGCTCCCGAAGGATCAGATGCGGCATCTAGTGTTGGATGATCTGGCGAGGTCTCCGTTTCCGTGGAATCACCACCATGGCGTCTTTATTCCAACAAATTCCAACTCCACCATGTCAACTTGGAGTTTCTGTACCGTAAAAAGTAATTATCCCTTGAAGAGGGTGCAGGCCGTCTGTTTCAATCAGATCATCTCCAATGAATTCAAGGAGACCAACCAGACAGTTCGCCGCAGCGATGATCTGCTTAGCCCCTGGATACCAAGGTTCCACTCCGAGATTTTTTCCGAGGCTTAGGCTCTGCGTTGTCTCATAAATATAAACAGTTAACAATCTCCAGATTCGAGCTTAAAGTTACCACATTAACCTCTAAAACTCATCAACCTTGGTTCTCGTTGCCATATTTTTTCTGTTGCAAGTATAATGGTCATGTCCACGTTGAACGACACCATAATAACACAGAAGTTTTTGAGTTGTTTTCTAATAAACATATGAACAGTACTAACTTTGCCCCGTAACAGTGTCACGACGATCGAAATGGGAGCCATCATGGGCACCTGCGTGGACGACCATCAACCATTGGATCGATACTAGCATCTGCGCCTTCATGGATCTTAAAGTCACAAATTCCTCTGCAGTTCTCATTACTAACATCCCATACTACTAGCTATACATACATACATATAGTCCACTATGTGCACGAGATGTAAAAGCAGTGGCGGCAAATGCTGCTTTTTAACACATTGTGAGCTCAGAATGGTTCCAAAATGCCCTCGGACCGATTCAATGCCGCCTATCAAGACCTTCCAGCAACAGGTCCGAAGCCCCTCCATGACATTAGCCCAGTATACTTTGCCTAATCTTAATTTACCAACCTAAAACTGTGTTTTAAGTGAGAATAGACGAATAAACCACACTGTCGTAGTCAGATATTAGTTATGAACATGGAATTGGTTTAGGGACGTGCTCCGATTAGCGAGGACTACGTTCCTTCTATTAACAACAGCACTAATACCTTCTACCAACAACAGTTGCAGTGTGTATCTGTTCCAATTTCGAAGTTGATGCAGTCGTCCAGCTTTCACTACACCATGAGTTTCAATGCAGACGTTAAGATTGTGTTATGTCTTGTTTAGTTTTGGAAATTAGCATCTGGCATAGCTCTCTTATTTGATTGGATTTGTTTTTGACAAGTGTTTTGATTTCGTGTGCGGCATATAACTTTAACCCTTTGTATTGAGCTAAAATTAACAGAATGTTCAATTAAACCTGGAATGTTTTGGTTTAATGCTCATACATGGTGATGCATGAAATCGTGCTCTCCAACCACTTGCACAGGTTTGCCAACCACTTGCACAGGTTTGCCAACCACTTCGTGTTTAAAAAACATCTAAATAAAGAAAATTCCTTCATGATTTAGGGTTCAGGATTCAGGTTTTTAAAGTTTTTTATTTTTTATTTTTATTTTTTTAGCTATATTTTTATGACTCGACTAACCATTGCAATAATTGTGCTACACTACACAATTATTGCTACAGAAAAAAAAAAAGAGAAAGAGCTTAAAAACTTTGACAACCTAAAAAGAATTGCTTGTCCTCCTGCAGAACGAGAGCGAGCACTGGCACTGCCAACGCAGCCCTAGGAATACCCGGAGCCTTGAGATGAGGTTAACGGTTGTCAAATTGCGGGAAGGCAGCGCCAAGGAGCAGGATTTACAACGCCCATGGGATCTCGCGGTGTCCAAATTGAGGTGGGATTCCAATGTGCTGGTTGCTTGCAATCGACGCCCATAGATTAGGTTTACTTCTGTTACCAGGAAATTTTAGCCACAAACGAACTACCCGATTTGGTGGGAGAATTTTGGGCCGACAATGATATACCCAACGACGACTGTAATCTCGAAAGAAATGCAAAAGAAAAAAGCTAAGAGGCAATATTCGCCGCGAAAATGGTGGGTCGTTGGATCCGTGAATCCTGCGATGCGTGACAGCAACAGGGAATTTTCCTTATCGAGAATGCTCTGATCGCGTAATATTCAGAAACGGAGAAACGTTCGGAGCAGATTCCACCACGTGGGTCCACCACTTGCAATTCATACGTGCAATTCCTGGGCGAAATCCCCCGGACTAGTGCCTCGAACTTGAACGTGCTGGCAGTGAATCTGAGTTACCTAAATAAGAATTTCAGATACTCTTCGTGAAGGCATAATTTTTCATGGTATCTGCGGATGAGGAGATTGCGACCTGCATTTCTCCAGAGACCAGCACACTTTGAATGCCATCAAGCTGGAGTGCTGTGGTCCTGGATGCTGCAAGGTCGTTCAACACGGTTTTGACAGGTTCGTTAGTTAAGCTCACAGTAATATACCCTAACGTAGGTACCCGCAGCATCGTCGCCAATCTCCTTTGTAAGTACCCGAGGCTGGATATTCTCAACATAAACAGACACTAGCGAAGGCAAATCGAAGCATATATTATTCCGATTGCTGTGAATCATGGCGTGCATTAGACGGCACCTGGGAACGATGTGAAGCTGGGGAATACTGCCAGTCGGTGCTATCATTCTGCTTCGTCGTTTTGGGTTGCGTGCTGGAGCTGAATAAGGGGCGAAATTCCAGGGGAGAGGAGGGGAAAGGCATCAATTGTATGATTCGATAGAAGTTTCCTGCTTCGGCGTCGGTTGACGTGTCATTCTGGCAGCGTGACAATCGAGCTCCCCGAATATTGCACATGGTTTATTATGCTACCCTAAATCATGGGAGTAGATTCTGTGCTTTTTTTTTTCTTTTTTTTTTCTAATTGACTAGGGAAGAAAAAACGGGCCACGCAGGAGGACCCCACTTTGATATTAAGTCCAAAATGTGAAGACTCCGCTTGTGCTTTCTCATCACTCTTCTTCGCTACCAAATGGATGCCATCCAGGTGGTTTTCTTTTTCAATAAGAGAGGGGCCCGATCCGTGACTTCCTTTGCCGGCGGAGGTGAGACCATGCTAAGAAGCCCGAAATGAAAAATGCTCTTGAACAATTCTTTTGAAAATCCAGAAGTACTGAGGCATCTTGTTGTGTGATGCTTGCGCTTACGCTGCTTAGCGAATCCGCCACGAAAGAGCTCAAACGAGTGGTTTGAACGTGTCGTCTGTGAATGACTCACTGGAGAACCGGGAGACGTTTCGTTATTTTGTTATTTTGTGTGTTACTAGCGACCAAATGTTGCTCAGCAGGAGGAGATTAACACTGCGAATCCGCATCATAGCACCAGTAAAATTGATTGGGATTGAACCAAAGCTTGAACTCAGCACCCCAACAACTCGAATCAATGTGGCTTGTACAATGCCGATCCGTGACAGCGCTCAGCAGCCTCGTCGCCTCTGATCTCATCTAGCTCGCCGGCAAAGTAACGTGGACAGATGACAGAGGAAGAGGAAGAGTTCATAACTGGGAGATGCGGAATCGCTCCATACATTGGTTGCTTACACTTCTTCGGTGCGACCCATCATTATGATTCAAACGTATTGTCCACGATTCCGGATGAAAAAGTCTTGGCAAAAGCAGACCTAGCCAGCGGGAAAAAGGACAGATAGCAGGGGGTTGAATCAATCAAGCGTTTCGAACATTGCAACACACCCTTGAAAGTGAAGTAGATGACCGAGAGTGCGGACCTCCAGTCACACATGCGGTGACAATTTGATACGGGGGGTGTGATGGAATAGGTGGCGGTAATTCAGGTGCCGTAAAAAAATGAAAAATGAGTTCCAATCCTTAGGCTCCCCAGATGTGTGTCAACTCCAATGATGATACTGATAACAGGAACTCAACGATCTGACTCGGCAACATCGATGAGGAATGCGTCAAGATTGGCTGCACCTGGATGGTGATGATGTCAAAGACGGCCGAATTACAATTACTTACCCAACCGAGACACAGCAACGAGACGAAGGAAATGCGAAAGCATGCAGAGCTCCCCGAGATAGAAAGGTGCTCCTCCGCAAGTGCTGCCAAATACTTCTTCTCGCGTCTCATTGCCATGAGGAGGCCGCAATATTACAACCTACCCATCCCTCTTCCCGAGCTTTCCTCCAGCCCCGAAATTGTCAAAGATACTTACCTCCAGTCTTGAGTCCAGATTATCTCTGCCGGCGTGCATTTATCCTCCATAAGCGTCGCATCCGTTTGTGTTTATGTTTTTTTCCAGCAGGAATTCATCAGCATTGTGTTCGTTTTCTTTTGTCTCTTCGGTGTCATGATAGGGCAGCAGTAGAAATGTTGGAATGTGGGAAGCGAAGAGTGTCAGACTGGCATCCAAAATGGCGCCCCTAACGCAGAGCCCTTTGTGGTGGCAATCCTGATAACTTTGAAGGAAAAACACAACCATTCATCACAAAGGAGAGGGATCATTCCTGCAGTTTACTGTCACCCCCCGCATGGGTGTGCGTCGCAGTGGTAGATTTCACACATGTGGTCATTGTCTCCTCCACATTCTTGTTCCCACCCTCTTGTCCCAACTGTGAAGCAGCAACACCAGGGGATGCTCATTGCTGTGCGCAAGCTGCCAACGACTTCATTGAAGGCGGGTTTCAGGAAAGCCATAAAAAATGCGGGGTGTGGTGCGGTGGGCCCATGCAACTGGTGATGACTAGCACTGTGATGCATGCGCAAATTGGGTAGAGAATTATTTTACAGCAGCAGGAATCAAGTGGAATCGCAGGGTACAAATGCTGCGGAGGCTCTGTGGTAAACGTGGTACTCGAGAGCATGCCCACTCAATCCCTCACTTGCCAGTAGGTGTAATCTTGCGATTACTGTTCAGATTTTTGCCGGTGTGGAAAGCGTGTACTTCATGCAGGTGCTGTTGTCACTCTTCTTCTTCCTCTTCTTCTTCTTCTTCTTCTTATTTGAAACTTTGTTTATTTTAATTTGAGTTCTCTGTACCTGGTCAATCGACATCTAGCATCTTATCTAAACAAGTGCAAGGAATTGGGCACCAGATTCCAGGGAGAAAGCTAACTTTGAAAGGAACCTCAGTTTAAGTTTCTCATGGGGAAGTTACTCGTCGCAGCTTGTAAGTTACTGACGACAATGACGGTGGGCAAACGGACTCTTTCAATTACCATGTGTTGGAGGACAATTATGAACAAGTTTTTACAGACGGAATGTTACATAGGAGAAGACTGACGGTGTTCGGTCCGTGCTCTACAATTTCTACACGCCTTAACGTAGTACATGGACAACGAGGTTGGTAGTGGTGGTGATTTTGATTCAGGATTAGCGCTCAAAGTGGAGCTGCACAGAGGCTGATTAGTCAAAGAACGCATATGATTCCTTTAAACCAGCCTGTGAGGGCAAGTGGTGGAAATCCGGCCATCATACATATCTGGAAAGGATCCAGGATGCGAAGAGGCGCGAAGGATCCTCAAAAGCATCGCCTGGTCGTCGCATAAATATAATTGCCAGAAAATTATTTACACTTTTTCGACCCAGCAAAAGCAGCATCAAAAGAAGGTTGTTATCAGAATCACGAAGATAAGGAGGTGGCAGTTATTTCTGTTGTGACAATAGTAAAGGCGGAGCGAATCCTGGCGGAGCTGGGGCGCTAGAACATTCTCATCTACGCCTCGGCTGGCTCCCCGATTTCAGCCCCCCTCTCTTTTTCTTTCCCCTCCCAATTATTTCATGCAAACTTACTGTGGCCGTAATAATCACCGAACTTCGCACCTCTATTGTCCAAATCGGTCCCCTCCGCTCTCTTCTTGTTGATTCAAACAATAATATTTATTAAAAAACCCAAAGTAATCTAAAGAAAGATTCTCCCTTGCTTTATATTGAACAGCATGAGGACACCATCATGGACAACACCGCAATCAACGCTTCTAATCTCTGGACTCCCCTGTACATTGATTGACTTGTCCTGCACGTTGTTAATCGGCTCGACATTACCCACGCTGCTTAACAACCAATCTCTTCCACTTCCTAGGAATATCTTGCTATTACAGGAAACGCAGAATCACTCCACATGTGGATGGTATCAAAAACTAACGTGTAGAGTAGCTTTTTCAGAACACTTCAAGGAGACAAAGCGCGAAGTGCTTACATGACGATGTTAGGGGAATATAAAAATACAATAGTTAATGAGACGTCTCTCTCTGAACTGAACTGAAAACAGTTCATAGCATTGACCAAACCCTATATTCTCCAAACTAGAAAGCCAGAATTGCTGATACCAAAGCAGTGGGTAACTTTCCAACGTATTTCTAAATATTCTAATAACAAAAGTCCTTTCCACCGGGACTGCGGAATGGGAGGACAATTTATGAGATGCAAGCAGGGGCCCCACATCGTCTCCCATTCCTCTGGTGACTAGAACGAGCTTCACCCTGACGTGCGAGAGTGAGAGAGCGAGATAGAGAGAAAAGAAAGACCCCGTGGGGTTTCTCATGAAACAAGCTCGAAGGAGCAAGACGATGATAACAATAATTTTCTACCGCAAAATTAAAATCGACATCATAATGGCGGAGCATCATGAGGTTGTGCTGCAGAAGTACTTTATGACGCCAAGTGACTGCTTCGACTCCACGTGGAGAAGGGCGGGAGAGGGAGTATGATATATATATTTATTGGACGACAAGATCGGCTGCAATCTTGGTTTCTTGACGATTGGTTTGGACGCGGCAGTCGGCTTGTCAGAAGAATCACGCAGGGCTGCACAACAACGCACAGTTTCCACACAGTTATTTGATTTTCTACATGCCGGTTTGTGGGTGCGCTGCTTCTCCTCACACCTGCAACCACTTCCTCACAACCTTCCAGAACTTTTCTCTTTATTCATATATATGTATATATATATATATAAATAAGCTTTGTTTATTTTTTATTTTTGTGTGTTGTATAAGTTTCAGCTCCCAGTTCTTTACAGCTGGAAGCGGTCACTAGGTCACTTACTGCGGAGATTAGTGCTTGGTGAGCATGATTGTTCGACTGTGGCATACTGGGAGGGCGTTCTTCCTACGACACATGCTCTGGGGGTACCAGCAATGGAATCGTATGGTAAATATCCTTTTTTAATTTAATGTAATTTAATTGAATTAAGATGTGTTTGTAGGTGTGAACTCCATGATTTAGCTTGGATTTCGACTCTCTAGCCCCACAAACAGTGATATACGCTGCATCGGTGGTTGTTGGTATCCTCCTTTGATTCAGTGTCTCCTCGAGTTCCATCTCATGTGTGTGCTAATTGGTCAAATCCCTAATTTGATGGGTCCACATTATTGCCATAAAATAACAGGGAAATGTAAGCAGGGTTTAGTGCAGCAGCGTTAGCACTGAATGAGTTGCGACGTGCCATGCCAGATTGTATGGCTCCTGTGTTTACATCCCCCCTCGGGGAGACATGCTTTTTTTCTTTCCACAAAGGAATCTCCAGCAAGGTCGCAATGGTCGTCCGAGTCGGACGCTGACATCTGCGGACGAAACTGCTGGACTTATTCAATCTGCACCAGCTGAACCAAAAGAATCACATACCCCCCTCCCCAATTAAAATAACCAAGCTGTGAAGGCAGCATGCAGCAGCAGCAGCATCACCAAACGCAAGCAGGATCCTCTCAGCTACCCCTCCCGGGAACGATGCGATTCTCTGGGTGACGATAATGACGGTACAGCTTTTTCTTTCTTTCTTTCTTCTTTTCACCCCCCACCGTCAAGATCAGAGCGCATCTTTCTCATCGAGCTCATAACGCACAGCATGCATTGTAACTCTTCCCAATGCGTTGCGTTTCTGTGGCAGCGCATGATAAAAAAAAAACTAACGCCAATCTGCGCCGACTATGACGACTTCCGCTGCCAAGACCACTCCTAGCAACAACAACAAAATTCCTCCATAAACACTGATATAACAGTTCCAACGCAACGCGATTCTCAACTCGTCTGGACCCGTACCAGAGGTCTCCATCTCCAAATCGTGAAACCCAAAAGTCGCAAAATGTTGGATCTGGCGATCACAAGTCGCTGGCATCAAGTCAAATCCCGTACCAGTTCGTCAGCTTTTGATCTCGGTGTCCATGGAACTACTCTCTTCACCCTTCTTAAATAAAATTACTCCCCACTTTGGATGTCACTGCAATATAATTCTACTGATGCGTGCAGTGAGATGTGAGAGTTTGCAGTGTATAAAGATTCGATCAGCAATTTTTTTTTTCCTATTCCTCAATGGCGATCCATCATCGAAGGCATATCGATGTGGTTGCAGATGTGCACATCGACAAGTCTAGACAATGTCTACAAGTCGTATCACCCTCGGGAGCTTGTGTGCACCATTTTCCTTAATTGTTTTTGTGTGTAGGAGTTTGATTATCTCGGTGATGTGTATGGTTTTTTAAGCAATCTGTCACTGATTTTGAATACCCAGTTTGTCAGGCTTTGGTGATCTTGTTGTGAAGGTAACACCCACGTATGCCAAGAAGTTCAGATGGGTGATTCAATACTACTACAGTGTTTTCGAGTGAAAATAAAATACTGGGATACATACAAAATGAACAGTTGTAGATTCAGGTATGATTTTTTTTGCTGTTTGGATTCAGATATGCTTTTACTGTTTTTGTTTTTTATGAAATTTATTAGGATTGTACTGTTAGCGAGCTTCGACTTGAGTGAAAGAATAGCACATGGAATTAGAAGACTGTGAAGGAATAAAGCAATCAACTTTGGAAATGCAATTGTTGTGTTTCATTGATTGTCCATTTGATTTTCTTAGGTTCGGGCTTCATACAAGAATTTATATATATATATATATATATATATAATACATACCATGTATTTAGATTTAAAATTTAAAGTGTCTAATATTACTGAGAAGATTAAAATTTACAATTGGTAATCAACACTTATCTGTCTTTGAAAATACTAATGTAAATGTCTATTTTTATTAATTTTAATTTTATAAAATGTTTAATTAATTTATTTGTTGTAATTTTATTTATTTTAAATATGTATAAAATATATAAAATGTATGTATTTTTATTTTTGGTTTGGTTTATTTCTTATAAAAACACACACACACACACACACACACACACACATATATATATATATATATATATATATATATATACATGAATTTTTATTAATTTAAAAAATAATTGTAAGAAATGTTATTCACATTGATATTAACAAATTTGATTGATTTTTGAAAAGTATTATTTATTTAAAAAAATCCAATAAATCCAATAAATCCAATAAATAAATGATGTGTGTACATATACATAATAAAATGTAGTGGTGTTTGTTGTTATGCATCCATTCATTCAGTGACCAGTAAAATAAAATAATATATTTTTAAAATTAGATTACACATTTTTAACACCATTAATGTTAATGTCATGTTTATAGATTATGACTACTTTTTGATGGTGTTAATGTTATTGCCAACTATTGATGTAGACATTGTTACTAATGTAGGCTTGAATGTTGATGTTATTGATTATTATTGAGCATGTCATAAGTTATGATAAATCACAATTCGAAAAACTTAGTTAACAATTAATTTTTTTTGAAAATTATATAAAAATAATTAAATTACTAATGAAAGTGATATTCACACATTTACAATAAATAAAAATAATATATTATATATACGACTAATTTTGAAAATATAATATTAATCCAGAACTTTAAAATATTTTGGATTATTTACTAAACATAAATTCTTAATAATAAGTTCTATTATAAATTCAATAATGTTTTTATAACATATTACTTCCAAAGTAGAGCAAGGGACCCCAATGTTAGCATGTATATATGTATGTATATGTAATTTGTTTTTCTACATACATAATAATTGATATTATATTAAACTTGTTTATTTAATAATAATTTTAAAAATAAACTTTTCGACATCTTAAATTTTAATATTCTATGCATGTATGCATATTTTTCTTGATAAAAATTTGTTAAACACTTATTTACATATATTCAGTTTATTTAAATGCTTAATAAATATATGCTCGAGTTGTATATATTAGAAAATTCGTAAATAATTGAAACAAACTTAATTTATTTCCAACTTAAGTAAACTATTGTTTATTTTTCTACCACTCTGTAGTCCAAAAATCTCTGTAGTGTTCTTTGTAAAAATGTGCACATCGAACATTTTCAAATACTGTTCCCGTTATAAATTTTAAGAAGTGATAGAAAATGGTGTATACTTCAATTACATGAGATGACCTTTCCATAAAGTTATTACTTCACAACAACAATATTACAAATGTTTATGTGAATAGTTTCATGAAAGGCAACAAAATTTCAAGTACTTGAAGAACTATTCACCCTACTTCACTTAAAGTTTCAACATAAACCATCTTTTCCAACTCTTTTAGCATTTACAAAAGAAAAATTCCAACTCTATCTCTCGAAATGTTTATTTACATTTTAGCTGTTAAATTTAACAACATTCTACCTACATTCTTGCATAAGAAATAAGCAATAATAAAAAAAATACATAATATATTAAACCACGAGCACGATTTTTTATTTCATTTTTACCATTATTATCACCATTTTCAAACCAGTAGACAGTCTAGAGATTGGCTCCATATCAGACGAGCATGATGAGAGAGCATCGACGCAACCGCATCGGAAACAACGACGGCAATTCAAATATTTGAAATGGCTGGGGTACATTTCCAAGGCAGGCAATCTCGTGGAAGCGGATGCGAGGCGCGGCGCCCGTCGGCGAGAATTGAGGGAGCGGGGGGGATTCGAGAGAGAGAGAGAGAGAGCGGTGCGAGAGATGCGAGAGAGTTGTGGGGATCAAATCGAGCATGACTTCTTCGTCCAAACCCACCATCGCGGCCGCCTCTGATCGTGTGGGTCATTGCAGCGTATCTTGTGCGCATTGAAGGAACTTGTGTGTTGATGTGTATGTGTGTGTGTGTGTGTGTGTTGTTGTTGTTGTTGCTGCTGCTATTGCTTGGAATCAATGAAGACAAGGGGCTTTGTGCGGGCCACGAGCATCGCTCAACTACCCATGTCGCTCGCATTTAGTATCCCAGCTCTAGGGGTCTGAATCCAGAGATGCTGATGCTGTAGCTACCCCTCAGCTCATTATTTTGCTGATGGGCGTGAGTCGTGTGGCGAGCGTGATTTCTCGGGGTTGAAGAGAATATCTCTGGGGCAGATCAGGCACGTGGAGTCAGAGGGTGGAGGAGTTGGTGAATCCTTATGTACTTCGGGCATGCTGTTCACCGCAGTACTAATGCCTCTTTCCTCCTTCCTTCGCTCTCTCCATTCGCTTTCCCCATCTTTGTTCGTTCATATGTTAATCTCCTGTAAGTGTTTAGTTTAGCGTGTCTTCCTGCCTGCTTCTGATGTTATTTGAGTGCTTTGTTTTGCGACGATGGTTGTGGCAGGATTTTTTTTTTTTTTTTTTTTTTTTTTTCCTGCCTTGTCCAACGACTGGGTGTGATTGAGAAATTTTGTTTTGCTAGGGTGCATGCATGCAATCCCCGAGCGTGAGTATGCATGGCACTGTGCTCAAGCAATTATTGCCTCGAGGTTGTGTTTACTGCAGCATTTGTATGCTGGAGTGTCATTCTAAGTCCGGTGCGTTCTCCCATTAATCCCCCGCCGAAGTGTCACAGATTGTAGATTCGTGAGCAAAATATTGGCGAAATGCATATAACCTAATGCAGAATCCGCTGGTAATTTTCAGACGACGTTGTGTTTTTATGCGTTGTTTTAAACTTGATCGCTTCTGAGGTATGGTTTTACGTGAGCTGCTTGAAGGTCCAACGTTGAGGTCATGGCAACGCCCTCTTTTGCTCCTCAGCAGCAATCCCATTTCCATCGACCCGGTTTTAAACATTGATTCTCCTGTACTTTGATTTTGCTCCTTGCGAAGCTCCTTTCAAACCGATTCTCGCAATGTGGCCATTCTGGTTTCCTCCTTTGCAGTTTTCTCTTTACTATTTTCTTTAAAATGAAGCTCTTGCAGTACGAGGGTTGTGTATCAAAGATGACTTTTTGATGCTTGGAATTCTTTAAACAATTTAATTGTATCATTTGGGCAAGTCAAGACATTTGTTTGGTGGTTTTGAGCATCATTATTTTTGCAGTAAGTGAATTATGTTTCTTTTTGTTGCAGGATACCTTATTAATGAATTCAATGTCAGAGTTTTTATGCACATGCGAAATAAAACCATATTGATTCAATCAATTCAGAATTAAAAAAGTGTAGAATAGATATACTTCATCCACCATATGGAGTAGCATAGATAATAAGAAAAAATAAAATAAATTTTACAATTTAAAGAGGAAATATACTTTGTAAAGCCTTCTTTGAATATTCAGTGTTAAAAGCCGTTTAATATTATGGCACATATGATAATTTTTAAGAAACCTTTGTGTTATAAAAATGCTTATAAGTTCTTATAATCCACTTGTGATCTTCAACTTTATTATATTATGACCTGTAACATATGCCGCAATGAAGATGTTTAAAAATTAATGTCTCCTAAAAATTAACGTGTTGATCATAATTAGTTGATTATAATCTCTACTAATAAAGATTATAATCTGTATTATCATATCTTGTAAAATAGGAACATTTGTAGATATCTTTGATGCATAAATTATGGATACAAACGCATTGGTACATTCGAAAGATGTTGAAATATTTATTATTAGTACACTGTCCAAGAAAACCATTTCTTTGTTTTTCAAGTTGTAATATTTGAGAATTAAATAGATTATTGGTTTTCCTTTGTGAAAGTATATGAAATGTATTTTATTTTGTATTATCAAATATGTAGAATACAGACATAAACTGTATTTCTATCAACTAGTTGAAATCCAAAATTTTGCAGTAACTGTGTAATATTTCATGTTTATTATTGTGTTTTAATATTTATTTACTGTCATAATTTATATTTGATGTTTCTGTAAAGCAGTTAGTTTTGTCCTTTTTATTGATGTAAAGTGATAGTAAAGATAACATGTGATCAACTACAAATTAAGTTAATATATTATATAAGCATTTTTTTTTTTTTTTTTTTTTTTTTTAATGTAAATAGTGAAACAAGAATTGGTTGTAATAAAATAGGTCTTTATTTGAAAATTAATATTGATGAATTAATGCTTACCTAAAAAAACATTGATCACAACTAGCAAAAAAAAGTGTTTGAGGAAGTGTTTTTAATCTTGCTTTGGTTGCTTGAATCATTATCTAAATTATCTTTATTCATGGTTTAATTTTGAAGTAGCCCAAGTTAGGTAGATTTGCTCATTCATCTAATAGGTGAAATTTCACTTATGTAGGATGTTGGACTTGGTGGACCCATTGGACTTGATCATTGGTTGGAAACATTTGTCTTCGTAGTTGCATCTAAGGATAGAGCTTAGCACCAACTACAACTAGAAAATAGTATTACAGTTTTGAAAATTTTAAATACTTAAATTTTATCAAACTAATTGAATAGTATATATTTTTATTTATATGAATCAAAACTATTATTAATAAGTAAATTATTTTCTTATAAATTATAATTTATTTGTGAGTAAGTATGTTTACATAAATTCATACAATCTTTTTTGTTTAAAAATTTATAAACAATAATTAAATTCTAGAAGTTATAAAATATACCTAAAATTTGAAATAAAGTTAAAGATGCAATTTTAAAGTATACATAAATA